TTCCCCCCCCCCCCCCCCCCCCCTTCTTTTTTTTTTTAGTTTGCCTAATTTTGAGATAAACCATCCTAAACTTTAAAAATGTAACTTAACCCTCTTACGCTTGGAATGTTTTAGAAAAAACCCCCAAATGTATTCAAATTTTGAACTAATCCCCTAATGGTTTCAAATAAACTCATATTAAATTAAATTAACACCATAGTTAATAATTAAATTAAATTAATCATTAATTAAATCGTAGAAATTGGACCCAACTTAAGGGTGCTTTTTGTGAAAACTACCTTTGAATTATTGACATGAAATGGTTCTTTTCTATCAAGGGCACTTGTGGTTATTTAGACGCACGTGATCGTCACATGGACAGTCAAATCTAACAGTGTCAATTAGGGGTGTTTTCTGGAAAACTTAAGGGCGTTAAAGTGACATTTTTATAGTTTAGGGGTTTATCTCAAAAACGTTCAAAAACTTAAAAAGGGTATTCTGTGGAATTTGACGTAAAACATTGAGGGGGATTTTGTGGGCTTTTGCACTTACAGAGGAATTGCTTAGCTCGTCTTCTGTTCTTTGATTGTGGATGAAAGATGAATACTTGTTGCTTGTGTCTTCTGCTCTTTGTGCGCTGCTGACAGGGCTTCTATTTTCCAAAGGAGATGTCTGTAGAGATTCAACCGGGGCTCTCTCTTTTTCTACTGTACTTTGTGCATGTTTGAGTGGGCTGCTGTTCTTCAAAGGTGAATTCTCCAGTAGAGACTGATAAGGGATCTTCTCTTTAGTTTCTCTTCTTTGCGGTTCACTACCGAGAGGACTGCGGATCTTCGAAGGAGATTTCTCTATCAGAAACTTGAAGGGGCTTCTTTCTTTATCTACTACTCTTTTGTTATTGCTGACAGGACTGTTATTGTTCAAAGGAGAGTTCTTTAATAGAGACTGAAAGGGAATTCTCTCTTTTCTTCTACTCTCCGTTATCTCTCTTTCCATCCTTGTGAGGCTTTCACTGAGCTTCTTATTTGATTTCTTAACTCCTGATTCAGGTGTCAAGTTCTCCTTTTCTGAAAAGAATTCTTCTTCTTGTAGAGGTTTCTTCGATTTCTTGCCCTCGGGCGTCATATTCTCCTTATCCGAGAAAAATATTTCTCCTCTGTCTACCTTAAGAGGTTCTGCAAGAACAGGTTTCTTGAATTTCTTTGATCCTGAAACCTCAGGTGTCCAGTTCTCTTTATCTGAATAAAATGCATCATCTCCTTCAGGGCTCTTCATTAACCCGTGACGAGGTGGGATTACTGGTGTCCTGCTCTTTATGTTTTCCTCGGCTGAAACAAAATTTTCTTCCTCTTCATTTTCCTTTTCATTCTCAAATAGAGCCCTGAAGAGTGTTTCCTCTTTCTTGGACTCCTCAAGAGCTGCGCTTTTTTCTTTGTTCCTTCCTGTCTTGATGCAAAGAGAGCTAACTGATTTAGATTTGATCCTTCGCGACAAAATGCTCGATGATTTACCCCTTTCAGATTGCAGAACTTCATTAGTGTTGACATTCTTTTCTGGGGTACTGCTCTCTTCATCCATAAGTACTGAAGAACCTATAGATTCTGACATTGGAAAAACTGAACAAAAGCCAGGACTCCTCTCTCCTAATTCCTTGACTATTAGACCCTCATTTTCCTCTTCCAAAGGCAAAGTAAAGGATTCAGGTAGAGGAGGTGCTGAAGGGATCTCTTTGATCTTTACATCTAGATTCTCCAGCTGCAAAAGAAAAAAAGATCAAATGTATCAGTTAGAAGAAGCAATAAGATTATAATTATCAGTTAAGAAGGTTAGACACAAGAAGAAGTTTTCAAAATAGACCCAATCCACACTTATATTTCAAAAATTGACCCAGTCCTATCTTTGTTACATAAATGGACCTAGTTTCTAGTCACGTCAGCATCGTGGCTAGAAACTGGGTTGTTTAAAAAAAATCAAATTCCTAATTAGTCGGGGTTGGCGCCAACCCGACTAATTAGGGACCACCCTTTCCCACCACCAGAAGCCTAACTGTTTTGATCGGGGTTTCCAACCCCGACCATTTGGTCGAGACAGCCCATCTGCCCCACCAAATGGTCAGAGTTCCCAACCCCGACCATTTGGCAGAGCCTCCCCCTCGCCCCGAAATGAGGAATCGGTTAAGGGACCAAATAGTTCCCAACCCTGACTATCCTCGACTATTTGCAGTGGGTGCCATACCAACTGATCCCCTACCCTCTTCCCTCAGTCGATTTTTTCTCTTCAGCTCCGGTCTCTCCCATTCATCCGCCTACCCAAGTCTCCCAACCAAATTTTTGTGGCTAAAATTCATCAAGGAAGTTCGCAAAAGATCTCTAGGGTAATTTCTCTTCCTTCTCTCCTTTTTTAACATTTAAAATTTTAGGGTTTTTCTCTTTTCTTCAACATTCAAATCTAGGGTTTTCATCAAAATTTAATATCTAGGGTTTGAAATTTAATATCAATCACTATCTTTGTGGTGGTTCAAATTCTTTGTGTGTGGATTGCTTTAATTGAAATTAAAATTCTAGGGCATAGAATGCTTATTTTTAGGGTTTAGGGTTTTCATTTTGGGGTTTAGAGTTTTTTATCAAAATTATAGTTATACGATTATGAGATTGTTTACATCTAGGGTTTTCCTCTCTTATTCAATGGTCTGATAAACTTTTTTTAAATTTTTTGCATCTAAATGATATAATCTAATTTTTTTTCATAGGTTGAACAATATGATTTTTATTGATTGCTCATACAGTGGAAAATTTAACTATGAAATGAATAATATGTCAATGTATGTCGGAGGGATAACGACGTCGTTAATGATCTTGTAATCATGTAGTTACTATGACTTGATTAAGGAATTACACCGACTTACTGAAATTGATCCACGATAGTACCGACTAAAAATAATATATAATTGGCCAATAACTTTTGATAGAACCTTTGCAGTTAAGATCTCAAACGATCATCATATTAATATTATGTTTAATTTGAGCAAATTACAATCAACGATAGAATTGTTTATTTGAAAAGTTTCCATGTAGTTAGTGCCAAATGTTCAAACCTCTAGAAGAATTCTCACGCATGTTAGATTTGGGAGTTGAGTCTGACAATTTTCTTTCTTCTTCGAGTGAAATAGAGCGGACTCAATTTTAATATTTAAGTGCATCATCGTCAAATGTTATGAACAATGAAGCCCCTTATGAAAATAAGAGGCCGTAAGAGGGGCAGTGGTTGAAGAAGATAAAAGAAGTAACTACTCTGAAGGTGAATAATAAGATAGTGCACCAATTGATAGCATATAATTTATGATTGAATATGTTAAAGAGAATCTGGAATGGCCTGATAAAGCTTATGTTATTAATAAATATATTAAATACGAAGAGCCACCTCCCGATGAGTTTGAAGATGATGAGTGGATTCGTTCTTCCACAGTACAAGATATTGGCATTAGCCAAAGTTCAACTAGTAGAAGAGATGAGGACTTCACTTTTAAAGTTAGAGATTTATTCGAGACTAAGGACCAATTAGTTGATGTTATTCGTGATTACTCTATCAAAAAGAATGTTAAATTCAAGCAAGTTAAAAGCAATCGCACAAGTTATGATGTAATTTATTTAAAAAATACTGAAAGAAAAGGTCAGACCGAGAGAAATGTAGCTGATTACGCATGTCCTTGGAAGTTATACGTATTTGCCGAAAAGAAACATAATAGGCATTTTAGGATCACAGAATACTGTGATGTTCACACATGTAACAATCCGATATTAGAACAAGATCAAAGTGGTGCGTCTGCTTCTTACATAGCGTGGTTGATTATGTCAAAATTAAAGAAGAAGTTTGAACTAACTCCCGATAGTATAATTGATAGAGTGTTATATATGAGGTTCATTGAGATATCATATAGTAAAGCATTAAATACCATGGAATACAAGGAGAATTGTGATGACAAAAATATTTGGTGATTAGGAGAAGTATTATGCGACATTTCCTCAATATTTTGATGCGATCAAAAGAAGTAATATTGGTTATGAATACAAACTTATAACTAAAGAGATCAATTCAGGAGTTCATCAATTCATCTCTATATTTTGGGCATTTAGTTCTTCCATCGAGGGATTTAAATTTTATCGGCCGGTTCTTAACATTGATGATACACACTTATATGATAAATATAAAGGTGTATTGCTTGTTGCTACAGGAATAGTTGCAGATGGTGGCTTATTTCCTTTGGCTTTCATGATTGTGGAGGTCGAGAACAGTGAAAATTAGGAGTGGTTTTTTTATGTATTCAATTATATATTCTTAATGTGTTACCTCCTAGAAAAATTATTTTTATATATGATAGGATGAAAGATATTCCTAAAGCATTGTACAGGAGATTTGTCTCTCATCACTATCACCTCTATTGCCTAAGACACAATAGAGATAATTTTAAAAAGAGGCATGGTCAGATACATTTACAAAACCTTCTTTGGCAAGCGGGCTATACACCCGAAATATATGTGTATGATCGGATTCGAGATCAAATCAAGGCAACATCTCAAGCTACACATGACTTGATTGAGAGTAGTTTGGCAAGTGAATATGTCGACCGGTAGGCACTAAGTAAAGATGAAGGAAATCGGTTTTACATGATGATAGCTAATTATTCTGAAAGGTTCAATAGTATACTTAAGAGAGCTCAAGCAATGCCATACAAGCATTGGTTGTGAAGACACTTTATAGACTCAATCACTATTTTGTTAAACGGTGAGAGGATAGAGCAAAGTGGGTGACGTGTCGTGCAGGCAAGATCAACAAAGATTGTTAGATTTGCTATAGATGAATGGTAGGCTACAAACAAGCATGGTCATAATTACACCATTAATTTACAAGCACAATATGCATGCATTTGCAACATATCAAAATTACAAAAATTTCCATGTTCGCATGTTATAGCGGCTTCTCATCCAAGTAATTTGGGGTTGCATATACTTCGTATTACACGTATGCTTTTGAGTGGTATCAATCAAGCCACTATAGAGATTCATACAAGCCAGGTTTACATCCTATTGTAGATAGTCGTTACTGGCTACCCTATAATAGACCGCATGTGTTACCTTAAGCCGGACGTCCGCGATCAGCACGTATAAAAACCATGATGGATGAAGGACAAGAAGGAGATCCTAAGAAAAGTAGGTGTGGATATTACAGACAACCAAACCATAGAAGATCTCATTGTCCTACCAATCCAAATAGATAACAATTACCAATTAATAGGTAAATTTTATTTAATTTATAATTTTATTCTACTTCATTTGTAAGTCAATGCGTACTCTTAAATCTGTAATTTACTTCTAATTTTTTTTTATCATATGTCATAATACTGACACATTTTAGTTTTATAGGTGCAGATATTTACAGTATACAGGTAGGACTATTGACATATGATGTCCTATATGACTAAGATCGACACCGATCCCGCGAAGATAGACTCAGTAGAGGTAAATTTTTATTATTTTTAATCATTTTAAATTTTCAATGTTCTTACTGTTACGTGATCATTTAAATTGTTTAATATATATAGGCTCCGAGTATTACTACTATTGATCATATTCATGCACATTCGAGTTGGGATTTGATGGATCCACAGGTCCAATATTATGTTCATCAAGCAGGTTTTTTTGAATGTTTACAAATAAAATGGTTAAGACTCGATTGGACTCTTTTGACGGTATTGATTGAACGATAAAGGCCCGAGACAAATACATTCCACATGTATCAAGGAGAGTCAACTATTACTCTGCAGGATGCAGGGGTTTTATTTGGCCTCAAAGTGGATGGAGATGCTGTTACGAGTACCGATGACTTAGAGGAGTATGTGAACGATTACTGGGTCAAGCTCTTACTATGAAGGGTAGGAAGATCAAGCTCAAAGTTATGAAGTAATTACATGAATGTACTGATCGATGTAACTGATGAGATCATCAAGAGCTATGCTCGTGCGTATATACTCCATATGATCAGTATCATTCTATTTTCGGATTCAACTAAGGATTCAGTGCATGTTAGATGGTTGTCACTTCTTGAGGATCTTAAGGAGTGTGGAGAATTATCTTGAGGGAGTGTAGTGTTAGCTTATCTCTAATGGGAGATGACAAAAGAAAGAATTCAAATGTTGCATCACTTTGTTACGAATATGGTCATGGGAGCGATGACATTTGGGAACACCAGATTTGATGGAGACCCACATTCTTGATGGTCAGATTCCACTAGGATATAGGTATATTAGCTTTTAATAGATATGATTCCATGTAATTTTATATATTTATTTCAATCTATACTAAACCTTTATATATTAAATAAATAGAATGTTTCCAAATATTGGCGAACCTCCCCAAAGGGTCATAAAACTTTTACAAGAACGAGCTTGATCAAATGGAGGATGAACATGTATAAAATCATAATATCTAACTATATTAAATCAATATATCATATGTTATCGATATGTAAATTTTCGTAATTTTTTTTATTGGTCAAGTGGATCCCTTATGAACTGGTTTTAGATTCACTACCAGATATTTGCAGAGATGGTGAAGATATATGACACGCCTGAAAAACGATTATATATTTTGAGATTGTCAAAATGCACGTGTCCGATCGTGTTCTCCGATAATTTGGATTAAAACAACATATTCTAGGTCTTGTAGAAAGAATAGAGCGAAATCCCCGAAAAGAAGCACATCATCAAAATTGAGAGATAATTTGTCAAGCTTGCATTGATAATTGGGAGTTGATGGAGGATGTTGTAGTGTTGGAGAGAGCTGACGTACCAGACTAGATGTGTACTTACATTGGTATTGGGGATTACTTGCCGATGGATATTCAGGAGAACAAAGCACCTAAGGAGTACATACCGAGAGGTCCAGTTAAGAAAAAATTGATAAGTAGATAGGCAAAATATACAATTATTTTGTGATTACTATTTTTATTATCATCCAATTGCTAATAATCGTTTTCTGCTTTTTATCTTATAGGTACAAGAACTCGATGAGGTTGCTTCTTTTGCACGTGATGCATTGAGATTGACTATCGAGCCAAGGGCGAGGAACACATTGTTCACATCATAGGAAATATTCGGTCCGCTCTTAGGAACATGCGTCATGCAAATTGTGATGGATGTCAAGAACAACTCATAGGGTTTGAGCGTCTACAGGTTCGAGGACACACGAGGGCGGGCTTAAGTCGTGCACATGATGAAGTTAGATGTTCATAATAGGTTCAAGTCGACGAGAATGTCATGCGCTCTCAAGTTCACACACAACCAAACGATAAGATCATCCAAGCTCATGTTGAAGGCGAACGGGAAAAGGGGAGAGGAAGAAGAGGAATAGCGAGAGGGAGAGCGAGAGGAAAGGAAGTTCTAAATATTTACTAAATTTCAATGTTGCTTGTTTTATGATGTTTATGTTTGAAATGCTAGTTGGACGTTATGATTATGATTGGATTTTTAGTAAGTAAATTACATGTTATGTTTTTATTTGAAATTACTTATAGATGTGATATAGATATAAAGATATATGTTTATTTGTGATTGAAATTGATTATGGATTGATATATGTATAGTAAGAGAGTTTGTGTTAAACTTGATAATTTTAGTTGAGGATTGATATATGTTAGCAGGAGAGGAGATTTTCTAGCAAGTCTGTAGGTTGAAGGGTGTCTGCCAAATGGTCGGGGTTGGGAATCCCGACCATTTCATGCATCACATGACTTATCAACTCTAACCATTTCGTGAATCTGGTGGCAAGTATCTGCTAAATGGCCAGGGTTACGAACCCTAACTATTTTGTACACCACATCACAAGTATCTGCCAAATGGTGGGGGTTAGGAACCCCGACCATTTCCTGCACCCCGTGCAAGTACCTGCCAAATGGTCGGGGTTGGGAACCCCAACAAAAATAGTCGGGTTTCTCAACCTCGACTTTTTTAGCTCTGCTAATCACGTAGAGTTTCTAAGGGCGGGAGAAGGTGGTCCTAATTAGTCGGGGTTGCCAACCCCGACTAATTAGAATTTTTTTTTAAAACGACCTAGGTTCTGGCCACGATGCTGGTGTGGTCGGAAACTAGGTCGATTTCTATAATAAAGATAGGACTAGGTCGAATTTGGAAATAATAGTGTGGATTGGGTCTATTTTGAAGATTTCTTCTAAGAGGCAATCAAAATCTAAAACCAGCCACCTCAGCTTCAATTTGGAATTATCCATTCGAAAATAGAATTTCATTATACAAGTTTATCGGTTCTGCATTAGTTCAATTAAGTAGTTATTTTAGTTCAACTTGGCATCAAATTTTCACCCTGTGGACTAAAATCAGAATTTGAAATACTACTGGGTCTATTTTAGTTCAATTTGAAACTCTCCTTCTCCTACAAAGGAATCAGAATTTCATTACACAAGTTTATGGCTTCTTCAGTAGTTCAAATAAATAATGAGTTTAGTTCCAATTCAACATCGATCTCGACTTGTGGCTATAAATCTGCACTTTCTCCACTATAACATAGAAAGTTAAGGGTGTATAGTTTGAGATACTGCTGCAGGCCTCGGCCTCTATAAAATTTCATTTAAAAATGTACGGTTCTTCTGTAGTACAAATAAACAGTTATTTTAATTCCAATTTGGCATCAAATTTTAGCTCGTGGCCTAAAATTTCTATTTTCTCCATCTTAAAATAAAAAGAGAGGGCCATTCCAATCCGTTTGAACTTTCACTTTCTGAACAGAATTCTATCTTCTCTACTTTCATTATAAATAAGAATTCCATTAAAAAGAGAACTCTGCATTAGAAAATTTCTACATCTTGCCTGATGGGTTTCTTCATTCTCTTCAATCACGGTCTCCAGGATCATCTCCATCTCATAAGCACAACTCATTGGGACCCAATGGAGCTTATAAACCCTCGTCGAAGCTCCAAGCTTAACAGTGTCCCCTTCATTGAGATCCACAGGTACATTAGCTTGAATCTTTCTCCCTGAAACCCAAGTCCCATGAACTGCAAAAAAAAAAAAAGGAATCAAAGAACCTGACAACTATAACTGACCCATGATTAAAACTTTGAACCAAATTTGAGAAATACCCGAGGAGCGATCGATCACTGAGAGCTTTTGCAACACGGGTTTTGCCCGGATCTCGAGATGGAAGCGGCTGATGCTCGGGTGATCGAGCACAATGTGGCAATCTGGGTGTCTGCCAATTAGAATTGGATCTGTTTCTTGTTCCTGATCTTGGGTTGTGGACTCCCATTGAGGGTTGTTGAGGAAAATGTTCTTGAGGTTGACTCCGTTCTTGAGGACTGAGAAGACTGGGATCTTGATCTCTCGTTGATCTGCCATTTTTGGTGGATTTTCCTTTGGTGATGATGGTTTTGAGAAATTTTGAAAGGGGAAAAGAGAGGTTTTGTGAGGATGAGGCTGGGGAAGAGATCTGGGTGAATCTTTGAGTTTTAAAAGTGAGGAAATGGAGTCTTAATGGATATTTATTTTTTTTGGGGATTCAAATTCAATTTTGAAAGACGGACCGTTTGGTTTGGCTCCAACGGCTAGTCTATTTTGTGAAGAATGATGATTTCCTCATTACTTGAAAGGCTGGGGAAGAGATCTGGGTGAATCTTTGAGTTTTAAAAGTGAGGAAATGGAGTCTTAATGGATATTTATTTTTTTTGGGGATTCAAATTCAATTTTGAAAGACGGACCGTTTGGTTTGGCTCCAACGGCTAGTCTATTTTGTGAAGAATGATGATTTCCTCATTACTTGAACCGGGTCGGTTCAAACAATCAGGTCCAAGTTTCATCCACCAAAACCTCAATAATAATAAAAAGATTTGCAAACCTATCCCTTCCAGGTTTAGATCTTATGCTCAGTATTTATTTAGGGGCTTTTTATACAAAACTACAGTATTTGTTTAGGGGCTTTTTATACAAAACTATCATAATTTTTTTTTTTTGAAATTGTCAAGAGCTTTTTATCATAGCATCCTGTGTGATTGCTGTTAGGTAGGTTCATGTGTTTTGCATGACACATGTTTCAGATAATTTTATTTTGACAATACTTACTAGGACACAAATTCTCTCCAATTAGGTGATAAACAGGGAAGCTTCAATTACCCAAATCCGTAGTCTTCTATTCTAATTTAAAGGGCTAGGTGTTGCTAAGTAGTATTCGATTATTATCTAGAAAATCATTATTGTGTTGCGAACCACTAATATCAAATTCACTTCTGTGAATAATGAAAACCTTATATGGTCACATCTTACCCCTTGAAATTGGAGTATGATATATCTTCTATCTGGTCCTTTGTAAAATTTGTGGATTGGTAGGTATACATCAAAGTGTATTTAGATGTTTATGTAAGACCAACATTTTAGCTTGTGCTGAGCACGGTCATACCGCAATGTTCCTATCTTACATCCATTTTATAATCTTTCATTTATGAAAAGACTTTGCCCAATACACGGACATACCTCCCTATTTGAGAACCGTACAAAATTCACCACAGCCATACACATTATGCGCGTCATGTAAATGGATATTTGCATCAGCCACATGTTAAACATAGAGGATCAAAGTTTATTTCATATTTAGAAGCACAAAAAAATGACAATATAAGCTATAAAAATTAAAAAATAAAATATTAAAAAGCTAACTTCTAGTAGCATATTATTTTGCATATTAAATGAATAATCTAAATATGACATAAAATATATCATAAGTCAACATGTACGTAATTAAGGACGTAAAATTGTTTTGATTCTTGAACACATTATTTGCAACTGGTGCAACTCAAATCTAATAAAAAAAGTTTGCAAACACTCACATCTCAAAACATAGATCTAATGTTATAGGTAAAATTTTCTTGATTTGCCATCATTTTTTCTCCATCTTGATCTTCTTCTTCAAAGTTGAAACAGTAGATTCTCTAATCATTACTGTAAGATGTAAAATTTGTTGCGCGACGGCGGAAGCGTGCTAAATCACAATGAGTCGATAAGCAACACAGAAGGAATCACCAACGAGTACAGTTCACAAAAGAACGGCACAAACCAATCACAAACACAAAAAATTTACGTGGTTCGGTAAGTTGCCTACGTCCATGGGGAGAGGATGAGGAGATTTCACTATATGGAGGAGAAAACTGTTGCGCGCAACAAAAATTTCGGCAGCACAATAAGAGAGTCAGGTCGCAATAAGAATTCTCGTCTCACCAAGGAAACAAGAATCTGAAGCAAAATATCTCAACCAAGTGAGATATCAGCTCTTCCTCTCATCAGTTCTAGGACTGACCTGTCGAGAGAACCTAAAAGCTATTACAAATCACACAAATAGCGATACAACCAATTTTACGTGGTTCGGCAAATTGCCTACGTCCACGGGGCAAGGAGGGGGAGATCTACTATTAGAGGGAGAAATTACAACTAGGGTTTAAAATCACTCACAACCTAAACCCTCAAACAAACTCTCAAATCCCTCACAATATCTCTCTACAAAAGCCACTGATTTTTCTTCTTCTCAGCCGAAAAATCACCTTCGGTTTTTTCCTTCTGGTCTGCACGCCGCCTAAGTCAGAAGCCCCTGATATTTCGTACTTGCACACTGCAGCCGCACAAAATCAAAACAAATTCCTTTGCACCCCTCAATTGCACACCGAATAAAAAAAACCTAGCCTGAGTATTTATAATAGCTATGTATCGGGTGGGCCTCTTTACCCGTTGAACAAACCTCCACATTTCTCTTTACCCGTTGAACAAACCTCTGCTTCATGATTCATTGAAATCTCTTCACGTGGGTCTTTGGGTGTTCACGAGAACACCTCACACGCACACGGAAAGTGGCCCCCACTCACAATTCTCCACCTCGTTGAAGTTTTTCCAAAACTGAGCCGACACCAAAGCGTCCAAATGTCCCAACTTGTTATGTCCAGTACGAACTCAATCCACAACAAATCGAGAACCCGAACGAGAGTCCAAACAATCTCACCCCATCAACTAATCTAAATCGGCTGCATCATAAAGACTGCCTACGTATCATCTTGCCCAAGGAATCAAGCCTCTCGTAGTTCATCCAAATAGCCGCCAACGGCATCAACAATCACGAATGTGCAACAAGTTTTGACAATGATTAAACTTGTTACTCGGAACCACCTTAGTGAGCATATCTGTCGGATTATCCTTCGTGTGGACTTTCACAATCTCCACATCGCCATCTTCAAGAACATCCCGAACGAAGTGATAACAAACGTCAATGTGCTTTGTTCTCGCATGAAAAACATGATTCTTCGCCAAATAGATAGCACTCATGCTATCACAATAAATAGTGACGGACCTCTGCGATATACCAAGTTCCTCCAAAAGTCCTCGAAGCCAAATAGCCTCCTTCACAGCCTCCGTAACTACCATATACTCTGCCTTTGTCGTAGACAAAGCCACCATCGACTGTAAGGTGTATCTCCAACACAATGGCGCATGGGTCAAAGTGAACACATACCCCGTTATAGACCGGCGCTTATCCAAATCCCCGGCATAATCCGAATCAACATAACCAATGCATAGCTGCCCACCTGTAGTGTCTCGCTCATAAACTAAACCAACATTGAGCGTAGCTCGAATGTACCTCAAAATCCATCTCACGACGTCCCAATGACCCACTCCTGGATCATGCATGTATCTCGAAACCATGCTCACCGCCTGTGACAAATCCGGCCTCGTACATACCATTGCATACATCAAGCTTCCAACTGCACTCGCATATGGAGTCTTCAACATCAACTCTCGATCTTCAACTGACTTTGGTGAAAGACCAGCTGAAAGCTTTAAATAGGCTCCCAAAGGTACATCAACTGGCTTCGTATCCATGCTAATATGGAATCGTTGTAGAACCTTCTTCAAATAAGCCACTTGCGTCAAACAAATTCTGCCCTTCTTCTTGTCTCTGCCGATCTCCATCCCTAGAATGCGCTTCGCCTCGCCTAAGTCCTTCATCTCAAACTCATTTGAAAGCTGAACTTTCAACTCATCTATAGCCGACCTGGAAATAGAGGCAACCAACATGTCATCGATATAGAGCAATAAATAAATGTACGCACCTTCTTTCAACTTGCAAAAATATACGTAAGGATCAAACTGGCTCTGAGTGTACGAATGACCAATCATGAAACCCTCGAATCGCCTATACCACTATTGAGGAGACTGTTTCAAACCGTATAGCGATTTCTTTAACCTGCAAACCAACTTATCTTTCCCTGCAGCTCGGAATCCCAATGGCTGAGTCATATATATTTCTTCATCAAGATCACCATGAAGAAATACCGTCTTCACATCCAACTGATCTAACTCCAAACCATACTGTACCACCAAAGCTAGCAAAATCCGAATCGAAGAATGCTTCACCACCGGAGAGAAAACCTCATTATAGTCAATACATTCCTCCTGTGCATAGCCCTTAGCAACTAACCTAGCTTTAAACCTCAATGGAGTGCCCTCAATACCCTCCTTCTTTGTGTATACCCACTTGCAACCAATTGCCTTTCGTCCCTTTGGAAGCTCAACCAGCTCCCATGTATCGTTCTTATGAAGAGACTCCATCTCCTCCTGCATAGCTACCTGCCACGAATCAGCCTCCGAACTCTGCTCGGCCTCTCTAAATGTAGTAGGCACCAACTCATCGATACTCTCCATCGGAAGTGCATACGCAACTGTGTCGGCATACCGTGTTGGCATCCGTATGTCTCTCCTCTGTCTCCGAACCGCAATCGAATCCTTAACCTGAGCCGTTGACCCCTGATCCTACATATCAGTACTCGTATCCTCCATGTCACCGTCGTGCTCGCCTGGCGTCACCTCAGTCGGCACCTACATGGATACTGTACCATCTGGATAATGTGGAGCTGCATCGATCTCCACCACTTGTGATATCTCTTCTGTCGGGTCGCTCTCCACCCGATGAGAGCTAGAAAGCTTCAAGATAGAAGCCTCATTGAATATGACGTACCTACTCAGTACAATCTTCTTATCAACCGGATCCCAAAGCTTGTATCCCTTGACATCACGCTTGAATCCTACAAATATGGCATTTCTAGTTCGATGTTCTAATTTATCTGTTCTCACATGATAAAATGTTGGGCACCCGAATACCTTGAGCTGGTCATAGTCGTGTGTTGGATCTCCCGACCACTTCTCCATAGGGATCTTCCCCTCAATCGCAGATGAAGGCAGCCTATTAATGAGGTGGCTCGCATATGTAAGTGCTTCAGCTCAAAAGATCTTCTCCAAACCACTCTGCGACAATAAGCATCGGATCTTCTCCAGTAAAGACCGATTCAACCTCTCTGTCACCCTATTTTGCCGCGGTGTATGACTAACTATGAAGTATCTTTCTATGCCCTCATCTCGACATAGTTGTTGAAATGGGTCAGAAGTATACTCACTACCGTTATCGGATCGCAACGTCTTGATCTTTCTTCCAGTCTGCAGTTTCAATCTCT